GATCGTTTACACTCCGCTGATGAGTTATACACCATTCATCAGAAGTTGAATGAGTCATTACGTGAATATGTTGGTCGCTTCAGTCACGAGTACTCTCGTTGCGCTGAGGCAAATAGTAAAATAGCACTTAGAGCCTTCACGGTAGGCATGCATGAATGCTTCTTCAAGTACATGATAAATGTTAACACTTGGAAGACTTACTCTGAGGTGATGATACAAGCTTACAATCATGCCTTTGCCGATGGAAGGACACACCAAGGGAACCCTCCTATGATTTAACCCCTATCAACAAGTAAGGAATGGAAGTCAAGTTCAACCAAGTGAGAAGGTTTTGGCTATCCAGACACTCATTGCATCCTCTTCTGCCTCATTTAGCTACCCGCTAAGTCACCAAACGTATTTGTCTTTTGGCAAGAGAGAGGATTTTTACTCTCAATAAACTCGTTACAACAAGAGGTTAAGCCTCATTCTTTCAAAATGGGGGACTAGGTGTCGAAGGAAATGCTTTTACAAGAAGGCATACTCATTAAAAATGTTTTAACCTTCAACCGTTTGAGATCCTTTGTAACACAAGTCATTCAACAAATATTTAATGAAGAGGGAATTCAGACAACTTCTTTTGAGTCTTTTACATTCTTAGCATTGGAACACTTGGTCTATGCTACCTACCTTTATCTCGGAGCTTCAGCATGCATATTTGACATAAAGTAAGTGAAACTAAGTGTTACAACCAACATGGTTCACATATCCAAACAATGGATTCGTTCATGCATAGCAAAACATTCAAGGAACGCTGCATTCTCTGACAATCTTTGCCTTCTCTGCCTTGAACTTTTTGACGTATGTACAAAGTGACTCTTTCGGGTCCTTCTTCATGTCAAAGAAGTGGTCAAACTTCTTCTTGATCGAGCAGTAGGGTGTGGAACTAGTCTGGTTCCTCACCTTGGAGCGTTGTGGCAAAGATTTTGCACATGAGAGCGTCATTGCTGCAGTAGAGGGTTATGGCACTTCGGTAGTGCATCAAGCACTTGTCTGAATCTTCATCTCCTTTGAACAAGGTGAAATGCAACGAGCTGAACTTCCATTGTGGCTCTGTCTGCTTGATCTTGTCTATAAACGACAACCTACTCATGTTGGCCATGTTTCTACTAAGGGCATCATTAATAGTATCAATACGTTGGAATTCGCACAGCTTCTCTACTACGAGCCTTTGTACTTCCTTCTGGATTTGCGCCTGGTGGGGGCAACTGAGCCTCCAGCTGCCCCCTATGTTGGCCTACTAGTCCATGTTGCTATTCGGTATGTCTTGCTCGTCTGTGCCGCAGTTCCGGTACATGTGGTTTGTTTTGTGCTGCTCGTCGTCGCGTTTGGCGAGGGCTGCCAATGGAACTTGAGCTAGATTGCTCTCATACTTTCTTCGGTCCGTCATGTGGCTGTCTACTCCAATGCCTTGCATGAGAATCTTCTTGTGGGCCTAGCATCATGTAGACGGTTCGCATGGAATGTCCTGAGTGCTCATCGGAGTGTGGACTTAACCTCAAATGCACACTGACTTGTGAGTCGAGTCAGGAATGAACACTTCTCTGCATATCTAGGGGGAGAAGATGTTTTCCTGAGGGCCCAAACGAGAATGCACACTACCCGAACGCACGATTCATGGCGGACTGAGCGGCTCTTTGCCAGGATATCGCTAAAATAAGTCACCTTTTTTTACCCTCGTCCTGCTTCGGGACACCTAGTTGGGGGCTTGCTATGTCTCCATACGCTCAAGGAACTGGTTCACCAAGGTGGTCTAATGTGCAAGGGCGCTTATCAAATTGGTGACCTACTGAGGTAGGTAGTGCTCGTCATTTGGATTGTAAGAGTCAGGATAATGGGCGTTTCTATATATGGTGGAAATGTAGTGGACTACAGGTATAAAGCTTGAGCCTAGAGCGGGCATTCCTGCAGAAAAGTGGAGTGAAAATAACTTTGAGACGATAATTGGACCGATGGTTGGAATTAGAATCGCCGAATGTGGCCTCATATTGGATTAGGTTGTGGGCCGAGTTGTCGAAGCAGGTCGGTCGTGGGGCGAGCCAACCCCACTGAGTGGCTAGGCCGTGCAGGTGGGCTCATTGGGCTCGCATGTGTGGCCTTGGGCCTATGTTGCGTGATAGGCCAGTGATTGCTCCTCACGTTGGGCTTGCACGGGATTAGGCCCTCCTGACCGTTAGGTTGTCTCGCCATGGCATGCTAGCTGGGTTGCCTGAGCTTGGGCCTGTTGACCTGCCTAGCTAGCAGTAGCTAGGCTTACTACTGCAATGGGCTAATCCTCCTGCCCTGGGCCTGCTGTGGCAAGGTTTAGGGCACTGTAAGGGCAGCGATGGTTGCATCTGGGCCGTGGCTTGGTGGCCCCGCCGAGGCTGTTGGGTCGCGGTGGCAACGGTAGCTTAGCTCCACAGCGGAGGAGTTCCTCTTGCCGTCGTGTTGAGCCTTGGGGATTGCCATCGTGGGGCTATGTCCTTGTCTCCACTCTCCAGTCCAAATCCTTGTACGTATAGGTTTCTGTTCGTCGTGGTTTCTGAAATTCCTACCATTGTATCCTTTTTCCAGAGATTGATCAATACACTTTTCTAGGAAAAATTAATTGATACAACGTGTGAGAAATTCAATGTAATAGAAAATTCAAGAAACAAATGCAAGAAGCTTCTTCGAGTATTTGAATCAACTCTCAATGAAAGCACCAATTTGTCGATGCAAATTTCCGCTGTCTTCAGTCTTGACAAAAATGCACCTGCAAAACAATCAATTCATTTGATCAAAGACCTAAGCCTGGGGGTTAGGCCAATGGATCTCTGATGCCTAAATTAATTTCTCTGAGGAGAGTAAAGTGTTTAGGACTTTTTAGGGGGTAGCAAAATCTTCTGAAATTTGATAGAATATGAGGTATATATAGGAGGAGAGGGTCGGCCATAGTGTTAGGGTTTTACCCTACACACGACGGCATCCTATTGGCCAGTGTTTATGAAGAAATATTCTTAAAATATTAAATAGGAAATAATATCTTGAGATAATGGAGTAATTATTTCTAATTGATTTAAATTGAGATTACTTACTTGATTGAAGTCAACCTTCAATTAGGAATGTATTAAAGATGTGATTTTGGGTAATTAATCATCATCTTTAATGCTATCTTTAATGCTTTGACTTTTCTTTGCCAAGGGCAGGTGAGCTGTGGGCAGTTGTATTCAGCTGCTGAGACCTTCAGGGGTGTGAACTATGCGTGGGAGTATCTGAGGATCCTGTGCATTTATTGAGAGCAATCTTATTTTTCTTGAGCAAAAGTCCGCATATCGCCTCAAGAATTTTTGGAATTATTTTAGACTCCACAGTATCCATCTTAAGCAATAAACATAGAATAAAATTTTGATTTTGGTAGATATGTCGCAATAGCCCAAATGAAGAGATATGTCGATATCAATGAAAATATCAGTAAAATAAAATATAAGAAAAAATTAGCTATAAAACATATAGTGCAGCCATGTGAACCTCTACAAACTTTAAAACAGACCAATAATGCTTCCATTTAACATATAAAATGATGGTTACAAACATACAGGTGTACAAGCTACAAAGTGGCCTCGTTTTTACCATGCCATGAAAAACCTCCTAATCAGAAAACTAAAAGACTTTCAAGCCGGCGGTGGTATGGGAGATATAATTTGTGGCTCCAATTTGATGGCGGAAGCAGAAGCAATGAGAACGGTATTGATGGCTTGTGTGGAGTTGGGATTCAAGTTGGTTCAGCTAGAGACGGAATCGAAGGTTTTGGTGGAAATGCTTATTGGGGTTTTGGCCCCGGAGACAGCTCTGGAAGGTATCGCATGGGATATGAACTATATTCGACAACAATTGAGTTCAGTAGCGTTTCTATTTACTCCTCGTGCTTGTAATTGGATTGCACATCAAGTGACTTCGCATGCCAAGCGTGTGGAGGGTTGTCATATGTTGGTTCGTTTTGAAGCAGAGTGGCTGTTTAACACTCTGGCTTCTGATATAAACATTTCAGTTCATCTTTAATATTATTGAATTTCGACAAAAAATTAAAAAATTAAAAATTAAAAAAATACTAAAAGACTAGGACGATTTGTATAATCTCAGCTCAATGAATTCACGAGCAAGTGAGTTAGTTGTCCAAATCGCAACACCAACACAAACCACCTAGTATCGCTACTGAGACAAAATGGTCCATCAAAATAATGTTATTCATACCATGTTTTTGTACCACATTTTTATATCACCTGAGGTGGCATTTGATGCGGACAACCACATTATTTGAATTAATCAGATTTTTAAATTTAGTTCATTATTTAATAAACTAATAATTAAAAAAAACTAGTTAATTAAATGATGATTGTGGTATACGAGGAGTCTTTCTCCTTTCTTTCCTTGGGTTTTGCAAATTTTACAAATAATGTGGTTATCCACATCAGATGTCATCTAAGATGGTATAGAAATATGATATAAAAACATGGTATGAATAGCATCACTCATATCTGTTTGGGTTCGGTCAATGACGGTGAGAGATCTTGGATGATATGGAGCAAGAAGAGAGGCGACCGTCGATGCAAAAGCTATCATAAAATCAAAAATGTGATCTCAACCGTGATGGAAAGAGAGTTGCGACGGACGGCGCGTGAGGGAGTATATTACACGAGAAAGAAATATTCCATCATCTCTGATCTCATTTCTTATTAGAGGAAGGTCATGGTCGTAAGAGATTTCAGAGTGGCCATCCAATATTTTGGTAGCAGATGCTAAAGTATTCATTCGTATTTAATTAATAAAAAAAAATTCCGAGAAAAATGAACATAAACATGGCCATAATCTGACAACACAAGATTAATTCCTTTATATATAGACTATAGTTACTAAAACTGGGCAGCCACGTCTACATAAAATTTACCTCAACTCAAATCAAAAAGGAAAAGGAAAAAAAAAATCTCATGGTCTTCCTATGCTTTAAGAATACGTATCTTTTTGTGTCCGTGCAACAAAAGTTTGTCCAATTTGGAAGAGTCTATTTTACTGCTTTATAATGTCATGGCATCACCCATGCGTTACGTAAGCAAACTAGTCCTCGTGGCTGCTCGGTCCTTCCATCAATTCAATATTAGTCATCACTAAGCTGCTGTTGCAAGAACCATATATTCTCTTCATTCCACAAATTCTCCACTGAAGTGTCCCCACCGGTTGAACAATAATCGCTTTGCTTAAAGCCATGAATATCTGAATTTATACCATTTTGACTATAACCCGACCCGTTTTCTGAACCATATTGACCGCTGCATGGATAAGTCATGAATTCATCACCACTGCTAGTACGGTCGGTGGGAATTGAACAAGCTTGAACCAGATCATATGAGTCTGATGAAGTATTGCCAGAGGTTTTGGGCACGAAATTAGTGTCAACCCAGTATTGACACTCAAACTCGGATGTCGTAGTGGTACAAGTCCTGGGTTGATCTGCTAGAGATTCAGGCAAGGCCCCGATCCGTTCAATTAGACGGGGAATCCATACGTAACGCATGGCGTCTTGAAATTGTTTGCTGTTAACATCACACTTGAGCTGTTTTGCTTGCTTTTGCACTCTTGTTCTCCAAAAGTTCTTTATCTCATTGTCTGTTCTACCGGGCAAGTATTCGGCTATCTTGGACCACCTAATTATATGAGTGTGCCATTAAAGACAAAACACACAGAAGATTAGGAACAACGACATACATGTATATGTATATGTACCTGTTGCCCCAGCTTGAATGAAGTTGAAGAATTATAAGCTGTTCCTGGAGAGTTATGTTTCCACGTCGAACGCTTGGTCGCAAGTAGTTTAACCACCTTAATCTGCAGCTTTTGCCAGTTCGTTTCAGACCTGACTAAGTATTATCATATTAGTACTTTGTCCAAAATCATAGTGATCAGAATTGGCCAAGGCATAAGTCTTCCCAAGAATTTCAAAAATTAAGGATTGGAAACTATATATTAGTTTAAGCTATGACGCATGTAACTTACTTTCCAAAATAATTAATATGAATTCTATTCAAAGGCTTAGAAGGAAGAAATGGTAGATAATACATACAACTACATGACTAAGTAAACTAGTTATTGGTATATTGGTATTTTTCTTCAGTCTTGAAAGAGTCTGGAAGAGAATTACGTACCTGCATGACGAGCCAAGGAATTCCAGCGGCCTTCACCGTGAAGGTTGACGTAATCGATGAGAATGGAGTCCTCCTCAGCTGTCCATGGACCTGTTCTTAAGCCCAGTCCTTCTTCAATTGGTTGATCAGGAGCTGCTGCTGCTTCTAATGAGCCATAACCTGCTGATTTCATCTGATCATGTACGTTACTAATATCCATTTCCTTTTGTCTGGTTTGAGTTGGAAGACAAAGAATACGGATTAGTTTGGGATTTAGTTTGCAGGCTACAGAAATTAATTAGTTGACCTTGTTAGGATTTCCTTGGGGATTACAATTCATGAGAAGGGTTTATATATAGATGAGAGAGAGGACTGAAAAATAGGATTGGACCGAATAAATTACCAAATAAGAAAAAAGTGAGCATCGCTCAAGACTCAAGACTCAAGACTGAAAGTTACAAAAAAATTAGTAATATTAATTCTAGTGAGAGAGAGAGAGAGAGAGAGAGAGAGACATCTTCCATGGCACAAACCTACAAATCCTTCATTCTTTTTTATATACATTTAATCTGAAGTTGACCCTTTGACCTTTGCACCCATCTAATTCTCAAGCGTATGAACTTTTAAATTTCTTAAACTAGCTTGGGTTTTTTTCCTTTTTCTCTATGGTTCTAGCTAGTGGTAGTTTTCTATTGTGCATTTCTATACATTATTTTATGTATGCTATTTGAAGGCCTTGTTATATATGATTTGTACATGTGAAGAGAACGTGATGGACAAATTTTCAGGAGAACTAAATGTTAAATAAAAAAAATGAAAGCATTGGGATGACCTACCAATTCACTTCTTCCTCTAGAAACTATCATGCATGTATACTGTTTGTAGTATGCACCATAAATCCCATGTCATTCGTCCGTACTCCATAGTTGGCCAACATTTTTAATGTATATGGATTTCGGTTGACCAGAAAATACGATAGGGTATATGTGTGTGGATTTAAAGCATCTCTAAATCTTATGTGGAATGCTGACTAGTCACTTTTGACTGCAAATATTGCTCCACCCAAATAGTCTTTTAGGTGATCTGAATTCGTAGTAATGTTTGAAGTTGTTGCTTCTACCTTCAATTGCAAATTTTTTTTTTTTTTTTTTTTTAATTTTAACTCATAGGTCTCATCATCCACTAGAATATTAAATTTTTTAATTTGGTTTTACTGTTCATTTATTTTAATGTGGGTCCTATATGATATAAAATAATAACTAACGTATTGATTAGAATATACTGAATTTGACAAAAAAATTCGACATGCCCATTGAAGATGTTAAACAAACTTAATGCATAAGGTTGAAAGAATCGTTGGGTGTTTAATTTAGCATTCATTATGAACTCTGTGTTATATACCTTCATCATGACTCCATAAGCCCTAGAGATATTACTAAAGTTTTATGCTTAGGGTTATTGATAAATATGTTGGAAAACTTAACTAGTTAGCAATTGGTTTACACTTAAGTTAGGGTGTTGGTATGTTGTCTATTCAGGTTAGATTGTACTATATTTACTACTAGGGTTAGATTGTTTTTCAAGTCTATTTTTACTCACCCCTAACCTTGGTTGACTCTTATGTTAGGGGTGTTGGTATGTTGTCTATTCAAGTTAGATTGTACTATATTTTCTACAAGGGTTAGATTGTTTTTCGAGTCTATTTTTACTCACCCGTAACCTTGGTATAGCATTACCCTTTCTAGAATTGGGTCGGATCTATTAAACTAACCATGGCTAGTCTATGCTTTTAATTAAATTTTTATCAAAAAGAAAAGAAAAAAATTTGCTTTCTGTTGTAGCCTACTTTGTCTAACAGGGTTAAGAGGGCTGGCGGCAAGGAGAAGAGAGAGTGAGAGAGATGTGTTTGTAGAATTGTAAGGGAATGTGTGTGTTATCCCTCCTACATAGTGCCTTTATTTATAGTAGTAAAAGAAGTGACGATATTCCTTCATCCCCAAGGAATACAAGATGTAATAGGAAAGGATAACTAGAATCCAATCTAATCTAGGATTTACACAGTCACACTTAAACTAGGAAAGTTTACAACACTCCCCCTTAAGTGTGTAAATACTCAAGATAGATTTAGCATCATGCAGAAGTTGAGGAAGTCGACTTATCAGCACTGATTCTCTAAGGAACAACGCTTATTCTCAATAAGGTAGGAACTTGCATAAGTAAATGAGTCTCACTAAAAAACCCTAAGGCTATGGCAAAAACCCGAGGAGGGACAAAATCCATAGTCTAAGGAACAATGTGTGAGAAATGCAAAGTCAAAATAAACGTCTATGGGACGTCATTAGAGATATGACCAACCCAATGTGAGTGCCTCATTGAAACCTAGTTAGGTAGCAAAAATCCAGTAGGAAAAATGCTCCTAATCATAGGGAAAAAGAGTACATTAAGATCAAGCAAGTATCTTCAGAATACTTCCCCTAAGTTTGACACAATTCCAAAGAGAAATAGCAATGTTACAACTCAAAAAGTTTACGCATACTAATTCCATGAACAAGCTTCTGAAACATCGTCTTCACTAGTGATTTGGTGAAGAGGTAGGCCAGATTGTCTTGTGAACGGATTTGCGTGACTTCAATGTTCTACTGCTCTTGCTATTGATGTGAAAAGAAGAACTTTGGCGCAATGTGCTTGGTGTTGTCTCTTTTGATGTAACTCTTCTTAAGCTATTCAATGCATGTTGCGTTGTCTTCAAAGATCGTCGTTGGGACATCAACGACAGATAGAGATCACAAGAGCTTCGAATATGGCCCACTACTGCTCTCAACCAAAAGCATTCCCTAGTTGCTTCATGTAAGGTGAGAATTTCAACATGGTTAGACGAAATGGCAACTAAGGTTTGTCTAGTTGACCTCCAAAAGATTGCAGTGCCTCCAATGGTAAAGACATAACCTGTTTGAGAACATGCCTTGTGTGGATCAAATAAGTATCATGCGTCGGCATAACCAATAAGGCGAGAATCAACTCGAGAAGCAGGGGGTGCGGCATCACTCGAGGATTCATAGGGATAGAACAAGCCTAAATCTGTAATACCCTTAAGGTAACAGAAGATGTCTTTTACACCAGTCCAGTATCTGCATATTGATGCATTATTGTATCTTGCCAAAAGATTAACAACGAAAGAGATGTCGGGTCTAGTGCATTAAGCTAAGTACAATAAAGCGTTTATCGCACTTAGATAAGGAACTTCAGGCTCCAAAATCTCTTCATCATCCTCCTTCGGACGGAAGAGATCTCGTTTTGCATCTAGCGATCGAACGACCATAGGAGTACTCGAAGGCTTCGCTTTATCCTCATTAAAGCGGCACAACACCTTTTGGTTGTAGTGCAATTGATGTACTAGAATTTCATCTGAACAATGCTCTATCTTGAGACCGAGACAGTATCGAGTCTTACCTAGATCTTTCATCTCAAATTCCGACTTCAAGTACACAACAGTTCTCGCGAGCTCTTTAGGAGTTCCGATAAGGTTCATGTCATCGACATATACTGCAACAATCGCAAATTCGGAATGTGACTTCTTAATGAACACACAAGGGCATAGTTCGTTGTTCACATATCATTGCCTAGTCAAATACTCACTCAAACGGTTATACCACATACTTCCGGATTATTTCAATACAAGATGTAATAGGAAAGGATAACTAGAATCCAATCTAATCTAGGATTTACACAATCACACTTACACTAGAAAACTTTACAACACTTTCTTGTTTGTTTCAGAATTATTTATTTATAAATACACTTCTTGTAACTCAATAGAATTAAGTTCGACAAGATAGTAGTATTTTCAAGCAATGTAGCCATCTGACAATTTTTTAGTGTTCTTTAAGAGCAACTCCATCCCTAAAGACTTTGCGCCAGCACCCAGCCCATTTATCCACTTCAGTGAACAGTAATAGACCCTAATGAACAGTAATAGGCCAAAGCATCTCCACCCCAAAAAAAATGTGCTGGCACCCAGTCTAAAAATGCGCTAGCATAAACGATCTCCCACCCCTACAAAATGCGTTGGCACCCAGTCCATTTAAAATATTAAATAATTTTCTTATAAAATAATAAATTAAAAAAAATAGTTTTAATTTCAGATAGGATTTTTAACCAATCTCGTCACGCCACGTGTCATTATCCGAACGTACTATTTTGTGAATAGATTTCCGCTAAGATTTTCAACCAATCCTGACAAGCCACATGTCACTTCCTGTTTGATAAGATTTTCAACCAATCTTGTCATGCCACGTGTCATTATCCAAACGTATTATTTTGTAGATAGATTTCTGATAAGATTTTCAACCAATCCCGACACGCCACATGTCACTTCCTGTTTACAATAATTTAGCCAAGATTTCGATAAGATTTTCAACCAATCACGTAGTGCCACGTGGCATTGTCCAGAACCTCATCTTCTTTTTTTTTGTCCATATAAACCCTACATCCCTACATCCATCCTCACACTAAACTCAATCCTTTTTTTTCAGCTCAGAATTCTTCTTTATCGTTTTCAAATCTTGAGTTCTTACAATATCTTCTTCAAGGAGAGTGTATAAACAGTTGCAAGAGTAGCAGAAAAGGTTGTTGGCACAACAGGAAGAATTGGTCAATCTTGACGAAGGTGGAGATGGAGATGAAGCCTTCGCAATGGAGAAGGATGAGGATGATCACCATAGAAGACAGAGGGCATCACATTCCCACCGTATCATGGAAGCTGTGGGTCAAATAGCCAAACCCAGACGTGCGGCAAACATCGATAGAATAAGGGAAAGACAAGGTAAAGATCTCTTGGAAGATTATTTTATTCCCAACAGTGTTTTCCCTTATCATGTTTTTAGACGTCGTTTTAGAATGCAACGAAGTTTGTTCGATAAAATCATGAGTGCTGTTTGCAACCATGATCCATATTTTGTGCAAAAAGATGATGTTTTTCATGTTTTAGGTCTTCTTCCTGAGCAAAAAATTACAGCTGCCTTACAAATGCTTGCATATGGAGCATCTTCAGATCAAGTGGATGAGATTGCAAGGATGAGAAAAACAACTGTTCTGGAGTCCCTAATGCAGTTTTGCTTTGCAATTGAAGCCTTCTACACCAATGAGTACCTTCGAAACCCATGCCAAGGGACATGCGAAGGCTTCTGAGGAAAGGTGAGATGCGAGGCTTCCCTAGCATGATTGGAAGCATCGACTGCATGCACTGGACTTGGAAAAACTGTCCAAGTGCATGGCAATGAGCTTATGGCAACAAAAAATGAGCCAAAAGCATCATTTTGGAAGCGGTGGCTTCTTTTGATA